GAGAGAACACGCGCTGACAATCAATGGCGACAAGCGAAGCTGCCTGAAACGAGTCCGGTTGGGCGATGAGGTGTGGATGAGGTGCGATGCGAAGAGGTGCGGCGTTGTGAGGCATGGTTTGGTCCGGGTCCAACTATTTCACACCTTCGCCTTCGCATTCGCTTGGCTCTTGGTGTTGCCTGGCTCTGAATGGGGATCTGGCTCGCTAGCTCACTGGATCTCTGGCTTTTTTGGATTAGACGACGACGGCGGCGGCATCCGAGACCAAGGCATGGTGTAAAATGCCTGCATGATTGGCATTGCTTTTGTATCTTCGCTCTCTGTGTCTCTGTGTCCATGTCCGTACCTCGTCGTCAGCTTATTGACAATGCGTCAGGCGTTTGCTCCGCTGGCGGTGGTCAGCTTTGATGACTCCAGATACAGCCAGAGCTGGAGCTGGAGCTGAAGCTGGAACTGAAGCTGAGGCTGAGGCTGAAGCCTGGTCTACAGCTGCACTGGTCTAAAAACTAGTTGCGTTGACATACCAATTAACTTGACAAATACATAATTGGTAGTAAAAACAATTAAATGTTGGTCGCTTTTTTGCTCTCTTGATCTGGCTACCGCCTTTTGATCAAGAACTCCATCCGAGGCATGCCCCCAAACACACGACACACGACTCTGATCGACCATTTCGCTGTCAGCTTATGAGTCTCAGAAATTCATTTAAATTTATCTAGTTGTCAGCGTTTTTCTGCCGGCTCTAAGATATTTGCACAATTTGCTCATAAAAAACAAATCAACAAAAAAATAAACACACTCACAGATACAGTGGGTGCGAAGGAGGGACAGCTACACTGAGGGACAGAGACAGGGAGAGGGACCAACGGCAGCCACTAACGAAGCGCCGCCAACGTCTTGGCGATGCTGTTTGCTGATTTTGTTGTGGGCAGCCCTCGCTGAAAATTTATAATACGCTAAAGGAGTGTAAGGCATTACAGAATTCAGAGATTGTTGGGGATAACAAAGAGCGAAGAAATTTTTAGGTTGTCAATAGGAAATTAGGATATTTCCATATTAAGGAAAGTTAATAAACGATAAGTGATTCGATCGATTTTATGGAGGAAATCTATTTCTCCTTTGCTATAGAACAGCTTTAATTGTGGAATGACATAGAATAGTATTATTAATTTAGGGCAATTTTTGACTGATCAGATAACGAAAGGGCATTTCATCTTCGTCATTCCTGACTTCATTTTATTTCTCCTAGTGCCTCCTTTTATTTGGCTCTGTGGCTCTCTTTGGCAGGTGCAGTTTGCATTTGCCGCTGCGGCTGCGGCTTCGGCTGCTGTTGTTGCTCATTAGCTTTTTTCCCTGCTGCCACAAAGTCTACGTCTGTTACCATTTTGGGCTCTCTGGGAAACAGGCGCTGGATTAGCCAGGCACTAGGCAAACAGGCAGGCTGCGGGCAGCAGGCAGAAGGCAGGTATAAGGTAAGGTAAAGTACGCTAAGGCATGGCATGGCAGCCGCCAAAAGGAAAATCGAAATGCCTTGCCGTGGTGTTCGGTGTTCAGTGTGCAGTGTGGGAAAACTTTTATTTCAAGGTTCAAAAGACGCCCGCAGAGTGTGAAAAATGGCTAAAACAAAAAGCTGTGGCCACAGCAATTGCAGAGGGTATATAAAGGGGGATTTTAGCCTGCGGCTGCCCCACGGCGTATGCGCAATGCCATAAATTCAATGCGACTCGCGGTGGCCCATCCGATCCGATCCGATGCGGTCAGCCTCGAAGTTGGTCAAACGATGTGGTGGCCCAGAAAGCCAGCAACGCAACGTTTCATTTTCATGTGTGAAAATTGCAGAATCCCATCCCATCCCATTGGCGGCTGCGAATCCGAGGCCAAAATGCGAGTGCGAAAGCGAAATACGGATACGCCGTACAGCCAGTATTGCCAGTGCTCATGCGCCATGTTGTTTCATAATTATAACTTAAATACGACAGTTTTATATAAAAATCAAAAATCAAATAGTAAATCAAAGTAAGCGAGTGCGCGCGCGCCTGGCAATTAAGTGGCTGCAAACGTAACACACGATGGTGCTGTGTGGTGCTTTGGTGCTTTGGTGGTGCGCTTGGCCAAGCACGTCGCCATCGACAGCGAGAGCGAGAGCTCGGACTGAGACTCAGACCCGGGACCGGGGACCGGAGACCGGAGACCCGGCTAGGCCCGAGTCAAGCTTCAGCCAAGCGAACTGTCAATTATAACCAATCGCACACCAAGTGCACATTAAACCCTATCAACTGTTTCTGTAATTTATTGTTCGGGTGGGTATTTTCTCTTCTCTTCCCTTCTCTCCCTGTCTCTTCTACCTTCTATCCTCACTCGCCCTGTGTTCGGTTTTTCTTGCTTCCACAGTTGCAAGTCTTGCAGTCGCATTTGGTGCGAGATCCGCATTGCATTGCACACACCGCACACACGCTGTTGGACGGTGCAGCACAGTGGGACAAGGGAGGACGGGATTGAAGTTCTAATGAGCTCTCCAGCAATGGCGGCCAGAAGCAGGGGTTCTTAATTAACTATTGTTGTCGTGGGGTCCTATAACATCTGTCCTACCCTTAGGAAAATGGAAGCTCAGAAATCATAGGCAAGCTTCCATTTGTTCTACTCTCTCTTGGAAACCCAGATCGATAAACGAAATCCTTGAAAAGAGGTTCCACTGTGTACCCCCCGCTTGAGCAATGACTTTTCTTGGTCTTGGTACGATCTCGTCTCATCATAATTATCGCTGCGACGGCGAGTGCGAATGCTTGTGGGGCGGCACGTCCCAGTACGCAGCGAGGGTCGGAGGGGTGGAGATCTAGCTATCTGGAGAGGGTTGGAGAGGAGATCCAATCTAGCTAGATATAGAGAGGCAGTCTGGGAGGTAGCCAGCGTAAATCTGGCAGAGTCAAATGAGCAGTTTATGGCCAGATACGATACGAGGCGACGCAACGCGACGACCATTTGAAGACGCGCCAAAGGATCCCGAGATGGAGGAGCCTGTCTATATAGCATCGCCACTCGGGGGCAACATTCACTTTTTTTATTGCACCACTTTGGCAATAGGCACAAGTGTGATTTCGAATCTCTGGGTCGCCTGGTGGTGCACCGCCTGATGGTTGCACCGTTGCCCCACTCCATCGTTTCACAGTTGCCCCACCGATGTTGCTGCTAAATTGGCAGAAATATGAAGTCAGCGTGTGCATTTTGGTAAAAGCGGTGATTACACACACTGAGACATAGGGAAACATTCACTGGGATATATTCGCTGGAGAATGGCCGTTTGAGAGACGAGAAATATATGACAGACAGAGTTGCCACATAATGCGCATTAGCATACAGCATGCAGCATACAGAGCGAGCTGGTGCTAAAGCTGGGCCCATAAGCCACTGTTGCGGCAGCTACCCATCCAGCCTTCCAGCCTACCAGCTACCCTTCCCTTCCCTACCATTTCCAGGGAGGCAGGCGCAATTGCAAATGGGGCACAGCAACAGAAACAGCAACAGAAACAGAAAGACTCAACCTCAACTCCAAAGCACTGCACTGTGGGCTGACGTTGATGGCCAGTTCAATTAAATGCCATCAATTTTAATAACGCGCTCGGACCTGGGCCCGGGCTCGGACTCGGACCTGGTCTGGGCCAAGTTAACGGATCTCAACCTCAAGCCCCTCTTTGGGTCTGTTGCTACCTTGGGCGACCTGAAGCTTGGCTGCTTGGGTGCTGGGTACTGGGTGCTGGGGAAACAAAACGCTCTCTGGCATGGAAATTACAAATGCATCAACAGAGACCTGGTACACATGTGTAGACAGTCGCAACGCACTCGAAGCACTTGAGGCTAAGAAACAAGCGGCGGACCATCGGACCATCGGACCAACGGACCAGTCCCAACCCCAGAAACAGCACTCACTTCACAGCAAGCCAGGGACCCAGAGAGAGGGAGAGATCTCCGGTCAGTTCCGACTGGGTCTTGTGGCCCTCGGTCATATATAGTTGCAGGCTTGACAAAGCACTTAAGCCTGGGTCACTTGTACAGTTCGCTTTTTCCTCGTTTTTCTTTCTTTCGCTGCTTTGTCTTAGCCCCACTGACAAACGAGATCCACACGGGAAAGAAACGTCAAGAAGCGGGCAAAAAGCAAGTGAAAATTGAATGTGCTAACCAGGAAAGCCCGAGAACCCGAGGGGGTATGAGGGGGGGGTTTATAAGAATAAATTATAAATACCTCTCAACTGTAGATTGTGGCTTATAATTTGCAAGATTTCGCACACTTTTAGACACACTGTTACGCACAGTACACACGATGGTCGAGAAGAGCAACTGAATATGAGAGAAAATTGATCATAAATCATAGAAGAATCGTTTTGGGTTGAGGAATATGCACAATGTATCGTTTCTTGTTGTTTTCATGGGAGGATTATCAAATTAACAGAATAGATGAGCAGAAGAGAGCGCAACAATAGAGAGAGCGTCACAAAAAGAAGGAAGGAGCAGCCACGGGTTGAAGGTTAAAGAAAATCAGTTCTAAATGAAGTTCACACAATATTTATTTGCTTAGTCGCAAGGTTAGGCACATTTATAATGATCATGCGTGACTCAAGCCAGCGCACTCAACCATCAATGGGCGTGCCCCACATCGAAATAATCGAAGATGAAGGGGCAAAGAAAATCACATGCAAACTTGGCAACTACGTAAATATTCTGACTAGCAATTTGATCTTCGTAAACCTTCGGGGTAATGAGCGATACAGCTCTGCTGCGACTGTCAATTATCGATTACTTAAGGCCTAGTAAAACAAGCGCTGAGAATCACTTGTGGTTTTCAACAAAAAGTAAGAGAAAAAGTGAAGAAAAATAAGCAAAGGCGGCCCTGCCTCTACCCCCTACCCCCCTGCTGGCCCGGTTGTGCGGCGACCCAAGACAAGTGGCCAAGTGGCCAAGTGGAGCAGCAGCAGTAGCCCAGAAGCGAGAATTGAGCAAACTTTTATATGACTCTAGTGGCCGGGGCACCCTTCGAGGAAGGTACATACATAGCGGACTACTGTCGGTAGCAAGAGTGGTAAAGGTAGGGGTAGAGGAAGGAACGAACGGCTGGCAGTCAGCAGCAGCAGCTGCCGCCGCAATTGATGTTGATGTCGCGGGCGCCAAAATCGACACACTTGTCCCGAGTCTTGGGGCCCGGGTGCCACTGCAACTGGCAGCCGCAACTGGCAGTCGTCGTCTGGTTGAAGTACAGGTTAAATGGATCACGACTGCACGGATTCGCTGTCCGTCGCAGTCTTGGCTGTCTGTCGGCCATAAAATACGCGACATGCAAACGTTTTTGATGCAATGAGGCGGCCAAACGAAATTAGGAAATTGTGTAAAAACTCCTAACTGACAAGGCAAAGTGTTCCACACGGAGAGTCTCTGGGATGCTGTGGCTGTTGCAGTTGCCTGATCCTCTGTGGCTGGCAGTAGGTTGTACGAGTACTCTGCCTATATAGACGGGGCAGCCAGTCAGTCAGTGGTTCATTTACGAGTCTCATTAGGCATTCGCGGCCATAAAGTCGCTCTCCCGCCAGTCGACGACCATTTTGGCCATTTTGTTAACCGAATCTCAATTGGTTTTCTTCCCCCCATTCCATTCCATTGCAGCCAGCACTTCGCATGGGAGCAGCAGCAGCGGCAGTGGCAGCCGCAGCGGCAGCGGCAGCTGTAAATCCTCATCGACCACCAAAGCAGTCCATAGCAGCATCAACTACAGCAATGGAAAGCAGTCTGGATCATCCTCAACCTCCAGCAGCTATGCGGCCGGTGCTTCGGCCGGTGCCTCGTCGTTGGGGGCCTTTGGCCGTCAGCATCAGCAGCCCACTCAGCAACAACTTTATGCCTCCGGTGTGTCCAAGTTGCCATTCTCGCCATTCTTTGCCGCGTCGCCATTCTTCTTCACCTACCGCCGGATTAGCGGCGGTGGTGGCGCCGGCTCCGGAAGCGGCAAGCAGGAGGACAACAACAACAGCTGCAGCTACAACAATGGCAGCAGCGGCGGCAGCAGCAGCAACTCCTCCTCGCTCATGCAGGACTACGACCGCAAGTTCAGCCTGCTGAGCCTCTTCAAGAATCCCTACAAGTTCAGTGACGGCCAAACGGCGAGGAAGACCTCCCCGCCGGGCGGCAGCTCCAGCAAGTCGGCGGTGGCCCCTGCCTGCTCCTCCTCATCCTCCGCCAGCTGGAAGAGCTACGCTGGCTCGGGGTCGCCACACGCTGCCCTTAATCCGGCCTTCGGCGGCATGGCTCTGGGCGCCACGCGCAAGGACAACAGCAGCTTCAGCGGCATCAACTTTGGCGGCGGAGCCTCCTCCTTTGCGCGATCCACTTCCGCCGACGCGACGGCCAACGGCGGCTACAATGATCTCTCCAAGAACCGCAAGGTACACAAATGCGACACCGAAGGCTGCGACAAGGTCTACACCAAAAGCTCGCACCTCAAGGCGCACAAGCGAACGCATACGGGTGAGTAGATGGGGATGCTTTGGGGTGTGCCGAGAGAGAGAGAGTGTCTATTGCTGACGCTGTGAAACATTTTTCAGGTGAGAAGCCGTATGTGTGCACCTGGGAGGGCTGCATCTGGCGCTTCGCCCGCTCCGACGAGCTGACCCGCCACTACCGCAAGCACACGGGCGTGAAGCCCTTCCGGTGTCAGCTCTGCACGAGGAGCTTCAGCCGCTCCGATCATCTGTCGCTGCACATGCGCCGCCACTGAGCAGAAGGGCAGAAGGGCAGAAGGGAATGAGGATTGTGACTGCCGATCTGGCCATACATATATACATATAGTGCATACAAAACATATCTATATAGACGCCGAGAATACTCATCGAAGGTGCTGCTCGCTCTTGACTATTTATATTCACACACGAATCGCTTTCCATTGTTCATTAACTGAGACCAGATTTTACACATTTTCCATATTGCCTAAGTAGCTCAATTTAGTGGTAAGCGGGCTCAAAGCCCAATCTATTTATAGGGTATCCATAGTTCTAGAGCTGAAGAATTTGTAAAATTCATTCACGTATTCACAACCCAGAGACAATTGCCTTCAGAAGCCAAGTTACGAATGGATTTGTAAACCTACTACTCGTACACACATATGAATACTCGTAGAACATATCCATATAATCGTAGTTTCGTACGATCATACAGATTATATATACAGATAGTTTTGGATTGGTGCTAGCAACTTGCGTGTATATATATACATACATATGTAGATCTAGATATACTTGGTAAGGCGAATTTTAACTAATTTTAGATGAAATTTTTTATTGGTTATTAAGTAGAAAATTTTATACTCGTATACCACACAAAACAAAAGAGAAACAAATACAAACAAAAAACAAGCGACACAAAAGAGGCACAAAAACCAGAAGAAGCCAAGCAAAGCAATATATTTATATAAATAGAAATTCTCTCATATATAGGATATACCTACTAAACACATTTTGTACTATACACTATACGCATATGATATGAGAGTTAATGGAGAACAAGGGTGGATAGCTAATGGTGGATTGGTGGGGCAATTCCAGAGAAGGGAGTTCAATTTTTTGTATTTTTGTATGCCTAGCGTTTCAAAGCTATGAGAAATAAGTGTTAGATTCACTTTGATGGGTAAAACGGACTACATTCCTTCAAAGACTATTTTATCAACCACTTTATTTGATGTTTCTTCAACTTTTGTATAATTGTATAATTTCCCCATTTTCCCTCTTTTCCCCTTTGAAGATATACCCTTTCTTTGAATCAAATCCTTTCTATAACATATGCATTTCTTTAAGTACCCGTCTTCGCGAGACTTATGAAACGCACTGTATTCCTTGCTTCCTTCCTAATCCCAACAGCATTCTGCCGCGTCCCAACTGTCATCGTAGATTTAGCTCCACGCACACTCCCAGAAACACACACACACAGACACACACAAAAAGCAAAACAAATTGTATTATTTTTTTAAATAAAAGAAAAGCAAATACGTTTTTTTCGTACCATATGCAGACGTACGGCGGACACTGTGCTCATTACGGGGTCCGTGGCCAAATCCGTTGTGGATTTTCATTTGAATGAAAAATCAATTGAGCTCACAATGGGGCAATGGCTAACCAAGTGGTTAGGCTCCCTCCTCGTCCTCCTCCTCCTCCTCCTCCATCTCCATCTCCTTCACTGATCCGGTGGCGGCTCCCCAAAGATGTGTGGCAAGTTGTCAGCAACTGCTTTGCTGCTGCGGCCTTTGTGTGCGGCGTGGCACGCACTCCCCGGCAATTGTCCAGGGGAGCATTGTCGATGTCGTCGTCGTCGTCGTCGTCGTTTGTCGTTTGTCGTCGACTGTGCAACGTTGCCGCAGAGCATTGCGCGCGTTGTTTGCAATAATAAAGATGACAAATTTCTCGTCATTTGTAATTTCAATGCGAAACGGGCAGGGCAGGGTTGTGCAGCTGAGCTGTAGCTACTGACGGGGTGGAGTGTAGCTGAGGCCAAGACTGGAAGTATGGCTAAAGCTGAAGCTGGCTAATACGCATAACTGGTTGCTCCGGCGACAGCAGGGAGTGAGAGCAATGGAGCTCCAGCTAAGATCGGGATTGGATGACACCTGCAGCGGAAATCAGTGCATGAATAACGCTTTCGGTCATTAAGGCACAATTGTGAAATATTACGTATACGCCATGGCAATTTATAGGTAAATTAATAACCAAATACATATGTATGTACATCCCAACGGACAGTAGCCAAACGGCTGCCGTTCCAAACACTGGCAGTCGGCTGGGGTCTGCGTCTGGGTCTGCCGTCACCGCATTTAGCATAAAGGTTAGACAAATATAACCGACCGGTTTTTTGGGTTAATTAATATGCCTTGGGTCAGGTCAATATTGCGTCGAGGCTGCCACTGCCACTGCCACTGGCACTTTGAGGGGAGGGAGGAGCAGATACTATGATCCGAGAATGGTCCGAGATAATGGTCGATAGCTGTTAGGTTGGGGAGAGGTCAGGTTTAATGACCCAAACGGGATGCAAATGAGTAAAAGTAAATAAAGTGAGAAGTTGCGTTAATTAAGACTGATCGACGCGATGAATGCCCTGCAGGTGCCAGCACCTAAATCTTTTCTTCGTCGAAACGGCGCTTACCTCGATAAAGGCAGAGAAATTGAAACGCAAATGGATTAATGAAAATTCAAGTGAACGCCGACACTCCCTTCGAAGGGGGATCTGCAGAGCTCCAATCAAAGCATCCATTCCATCGATAGGGAGGTATCCACACACATACCACGTATCTACAAAATACATTTGGATAAGCATTCAAAATCACAGCGCAGATCATTAAAAACCAATAAAGTCGCGATCCAATGCTTTGCACCGGACAAAGCTCTGTCCATCAATGAGTCGGATAGATCGGGAGGGGATCTGTGTCCCGCATGGACACACTGGAGAATGGAGGAGCCTTGGGAGGGAACGATGTGTGGCTGCTGCTGTCGGCAGCTGTCCATCACACAGAAGAGTGCTCCCATAACCAAATCGACCAGAGCCCGAGACCGAATCCGAATCTGAGTCCAAATCCGATTCCAAGCTGAAATTGAAGGAGTTCCAAGTCTGAGGATTGCAGTTTTTAGAGTCTGCGGCAAGAGGCACAGCACAGCACACATGGAGTCCGAGTCCACAGCCACAGCCACATCCACATCCACATCGGCATCGACATCCATTTTTAATTTATTGTTATGCCTTTCTGCTGCCTTTTGGCTGCCGCTGCATCTTGCCGCTGTTACTGTTGCTGTTGCAGTTGCAGTTGCAGGCTGCTGCTGGTCGTCAGGTCATGTGCAATTTATGAAACGGCTTTGCATTGGCCGCGGCCTGATTTTTGAGACACATTTGGATGACTGTCGCAACGGAGGCAGCAGAGGCAACTGCGCTGCGGCAACTGCGGGTCTGCCTCTGCGGCCAACTCTGCCTCTGTGGCTTCTGTCCATTTGATTTGTGATCGATTGTGTGTCGTTAGTTTGCGACATGGGGCATGAAATCTTTGACACCTAACGGTAAACAGACGGCACTGTGCCTCAGAGAGAGAGAGGGACCTCGGATCACAGCAGTGGGTGCCCCATCCACAGCCCCTTCATCCTTGTCCTCTGCATCAAATTGGAACGATGGAAGGAGCCGCTCCGCATCGCCTCTCGTCTCGTCGCACTGCAAGTTGTCAGCGGACCAAAGTGTTTGGCAGTTTTGCCATTTATTTTACAGGTGAGTGAGCATAATGGACAGCGGCCCGTCTGTTGCAAGTTGGTCCGTTGCAAGCAGATAGATGGCCTGGCTGCTGCTGCTGCTGCTGCTGCCACTGCTGCCGCGGTACATGCTGTGCGCTCTGGCTCAATTAAAAATGGAATCGTCTATAGAGGAGGTCGCTCGATCGCCCGGTCGCCTCATTTGACAATTGCCGGATCCCAAATAGAGCCAAATAGCCATACGAGAGCCAAATACCCTCCTCTCGATAGCATCCAGCATCCAGCATCTACCATCTCCCGTCCATCTCTAGCATCCATATACCTATAGCATCTCCTATGTGGCTGTCGCTCATGGTAGTCGTACCATGTTTAATTTTGTTAAGCAAAAATGCTGGAAATTAAAATTCCCATCACACCATAAAACCCATAAATCATCTTTTATCTAAGCGAGTCTATCGGCGCATGCGAGCGCGCGCCAACTTCGGTTCGGGGTTCGGGTTCGTTCAGGAAAAACCGCAGAAAAAACTGTGCAGAGAAGCCTCCTCTGTGTGAGTGTGGAAAATGATGCTGCTGCCGGGACACATTGGGGGAACCTGCTTGGTCCTCTCCTGCCTTAATGAGAATTTAATATTTTTCAATAAAAATTTGTAAAAGGCGCGCTAGCTGCTTGTCCTGGACTCCCCTTACCGCTCAGGGGCAGGATGGGGTGGGTTGGGGTGGGAGGAGAGGCGGTGTTTTGGCCATGTGTGTCTTGGCTATTAACGCACTTTGTCTGTGGCCATTGGCCATGGCCTGCATGGCCAAGACTGGGGCCAAGACCCGGCCAGAGACCAGGCCTGATTGTTGCTGCAGAGGCGTCGCATCGGTAAGTTGCCTCCAGAAGGGTTTGAGCCTGGCTTGTGCAGGCCTTTTCTGCCCCCTTCCTATGGATGCGGGCCCCGTCTATGGCCCATCGTGGGGCCGTTCTCTGTTTGTTTTCTTTATTGCCTCCAGTTGTTATTGTCTTCTCTGGGGTCTTTTGCCTTTTCTTTGGCCTAGACTTTTACGCAGCTCTGCTTCCAATTCATATCACAAATCGTAGTCTTGTTTCTTCGATCCCTGCTCCGTTCCGAGCTCTCCTGTGTGCTCCGATCCTTTCATTGCCATCTTCTGTGCGTTCCGTTTGGAGTCTCCCGTCTGTACCTTAGTCCCTGCTCTAACCTTCGCTCGAAACCCTTCGTCTGTCACAATTTTCTTTAGGTTTAAGGCACACATTGCATACAAAATTGCTAGCTGAAGTTCAACTTGAAATTGTGTCCGTAAAAACCAGCAGCAAAGGAGGGAGAGAGGCAGGGAAGCTCAGGGCCGGGACTCGGCCAAAAGTGTCAATTGTCAGTGGCTGTCGCCGTTTAGCCGGGCTGGCTGGGTCGAGTCGAGTCGAGTCGAGGCCTTCTGGGTCTTGGTCTGCGACTGGGACTGCAAGTGGGACTGCAAGCGGGACTGGGCCTAAACCCAGCCCATCGTTGGCGGCGCGTGCAGACGGTGAGCCTGTTTTAATATGCCAACAATGACAATCAACTGTCACCTCTGGTGCGCCACATGTCTAGACTCCAGACGGAGACTACCACTGCCACTGCCACTGCCGCTGCCACTGCAACATCGACTGCGAGTGCGGCCAAAAGAAATTGCATGCAACCTGAGCAGCGGGTTGAACGCTGATTGCAGCTACAACAAATAAATATGTCATTTGGCTCATTATAAAGATAGCAAAAGACTCTCTCTGTCTCTGGCCAGAACAGAGCTTGCAACTTGCAACGCGCAACGCGCAACGTGCAGCGAACAACGAGCAGCATGCTGCATATGCGCCCCCAGAGCTGCTGCTGCTGCTGCGTCACATTTAAACGTTTAATGATAATTTATGAATGTTGTTGTTTTTTATTGCAACAACAATGCCGTAAACCAATAAATCTTAAGGATCACATAAATCTTGGCGCTAACTGAGACGGCGGCAGCGGTGGCAGCAGCAAGCAGAGCAACTTCTACT